AGGTAGTAGCAGGAAAGGACCAAAGGCTAATGGCAAACGGGCTGCTTCAATTGGGACATCCCAGCAGTGAGCGCCCAAGGAAACGCCAACCAGTGGCAGCCCTGGGCAGCAGTCCCAACAGAAACACAATGGTAGCCAACAGATTTGGTAGCAAATGTTCTAGTAGTCACATAAAAAAATGCAGCAAGAAATAGATTAAATCAATTTGATAATATGTAGTTAAACCCCATATATCTTAAATATTGTCAGACATTAGTCAACAAAAAGCTTATTAACAAGAATATACATTTTATTTATACTCTGATTTTTGCTGGGACTCACTGGCACATTTTGCTGGCTGCACACCTAAAAGTCAGTCCTGGGGAGACCATAAGAAAGGAAGCCAGCGCTGTGGTGTAGTGAGTTAGACCACTGCCTGCAGTGCCAGCATCCTTTATGGTTACCATTTAGAGTCTCTGTTGCTCCACTTCTGATCCAGCTCCCTGTTAATGAAGCTGGGAAAGCAGCAAAAGGTAGCCCCCGTTCTTGGGCCCCTGTACCCATGTGGGAAACTTGGGAGACACTCTTGACTACTGGCTTTGGCCCCTCCAACCGTGGCTGTTGAAGCCATTTGTGGGTTGAACCAGCAGACAGAAGACTTCACTCTCTCTGTCTTCACTCTGAACCTCCATTTCAAATAAATAAATTAAATAACATATATTGGAAATGTGGATTAGATTTACAGAGGGAAGGAGAGACAAAGATATTCTATCTGCCGGTTCACTCCCCAAATGACTACACTGGCCAGAGCTGAACTGATCTGAAGCCAGGTGCCAGCAGCTTCCTCCGGGTCTCCCACGTTGGTGCAGGGTTCCAAGGCTTTGGGCCAATCTCAACTGCTTTCCCAGGCCACAGGCAGGGATGGGAAGCAGGGCTGCCAGAATTAGAACTGACACCCATATCGGGCTCTGGTGCATACAAGTCGAGGACTTTAGCTGCTAGGTTACCATGCTGGGCCCTAAATTAATTTTTAAAAAGGAAAGCATAGAGATAAACTAGTGAGGATCCCTGGCAGGACTGAGGAGTGTTCTGAATGAAGGTGGGTAGCTGTGCTGCATCCTGCCTCCCTGCGGTGGCCTGGCACCATCTTTGCCCCGCTACACTTTGACGAACAAGGGCAGGATCTGGTGCTGTGTGGAGGGTAGGATGAAGTCAAGGCTGAGAGCCCTGCTGGAGCAGACAGGAGACGGGCACTGCCCGTCACGGCTGTTGCCTTAGCCGTTCACACTCCCACTGTCTACCACCTTACCCCCACAACCGGCTGAGACCCGGAGAGGCCAGCCAATCCCACTGGTCCTAACCTCGAAGATCTGACCTGCCAGATTAAATCAAATTAATAACATATTTAGAATTCAGTATACCTTAAATATTGCCAATTAAATATTAACCAACATAAAAGTTAATAGCCTCAATATATATTTCATTTATTTACTGACATTAGACTCTAATGCTAGATGCCAAAACAGTAATAGCAAAAAACAACCACTGAAATGTTGAGTAAGAGTCTTCACATCGGGGCCAGTGCTGAGGATCACAGGCTGCTTCCACCTGCAGGCACCAGCATCCCACAGGGGCGCTCCTCCTCTGGTCCAGCTCCCTCCTCACAGGCCTGCGAAAGCAGCAGAGGATGGCCCAGCTCCTCGGGCCCCTGCACCCACCGGGAGACATGACGGAGGCTCTTGGCTTTGGCCATTTGGAGAGTGGACCAGCAGATCAAAGATTTCTTTCTCTCTCTGTCTCCGTAAATCTGTCTTTAAATCAAATGAATAAGTCTTTTTCATTTAGAGTCTTTGCAACCTTAAAGGGAAAAAGCTTCAAGCTTTGGATTTGCTACACAATTTAAAGTTGCTCACAAGCGGTGATGTAACCTGATTGGCCACCACCACTTCGTATCTTGTGCTGCGTGGTCACCCTGTCCCTCGCAACGCTTACGTGTAGATTTTGAACACAGTGGTAGGGTAATACTAACAACGGCCGCAGGCATAAAAGGCTTGAGAAGGTTTGCCACACAAATAACTATCTTCACAACATTTTTGGAGGAAATATCATAATTAAAGAAAAAAATCTTGGGGAAGGTTGACCTAGCACGTGGGTGAGGGAGAGAGAATGCGAACGCTTCTGCAAGCTGAGGCTTTTATCTGGTGAAAGGGAAGACAGGGAAAGTTAATACTTTAAAAAAAGGAAACCAGAAATATTGAAATGAATAAGTTATTGGAAACAAGCACAGGTATATCAAGGATCACAATCAATAAAGCAGGAATGGGGCAAAGCTGGTGCTGTGTGCTCAGCGAGCCACTCTGCTCTCCTGGACCCACCACTGAGCTGTTGGTCCGCTCCCCTCCTTCCTCTCCGGGGTCATCGTTTACTGCTTGCCGGTGGAATGTGAGCAGGACTGACTTGTCCTGGCTGGTCCAGAGCCATGCCTCCCTCAGGCTCGCTCTCCCACCTGCACAGGTCCGAGCAGCGTCCTTGTCAACAGCGGATGCAGCATGGGGCTGGCCTGGGCTCCGGAGGCACTGCCTGCAGGAGTGCTGTGCTGTGTCCCACCTGCTTTGAACTGCGCTTTGTTAAGCCACCAAGGCCTTCAGGGTTTGTTCAGAAGCAAGTTTGTTCACTTTGACCAACGCATGGATTGAATCAGCAGCTGAAATGCAGACAGGATCAGATCAAATCAAAGCCAGCATCTGTCTTTGTGACCTTTGATTACAAGACCTGCATCTATAGCATAAGTGTGCAGAAAGAGTAAAAACAAAAGGATAAAAAAGGTATGCCGAATACTACCCCCAGAGAAACGATGTGGATAGACTCGTCAGACAACACTGAGTTTAAGACAGAAAGATTGTCAGAACAAATTGGAAAAAGCTGAAATGCACCAAGACTATAAATCGCGAGTAAGCACCTAATAACTCAGACATATATTGAACAAAACCTGATCTTTCGAAAGGGAGAGAAAGTCAAGGGGTCAGCTGGCATTCAACCTGGTGGTTAACAGAGGCTGGCTGAGACGCCCCGTCACACATGGGAGTGTGGGGGCTTCATTCCCAGCTCCTGCTCTGCCTGGTGCTTCCTGCTGATGAGCCCTGGGGGTGGGGTGGCACGGCCAGGGTGGTGGCTCCTGTAGCTGGGCTCTTGCCCTCCTCCTGAGAGACCTGGACTGAGGGTCCATTTCTTGGCTTTGCCCTGGCCCAGTCCTGGTCACGCAGGGAAGCTGGGGGGTGAAGCAGGGAGTGTGACCTCTCTCTTTCTCTCAAACAATTTAACAAATTTAGAAGATAAATAGAAACAAATTAGAAAAAAAACTAGTTATAGTTAGATTTTTAAATATGCTACTTTCAGTTATTTATAGACTAGTCCAGAAATAAGGAAAGACATACAATAACGCAGAGTGACAAATTAAGCACGGGTGAGCCGATGACCACGCACAGTATCAGAGTCTATCCAGGCAGTCACAGCAGTGGGAAGCGTGTGCAGAGGCCGAGGCCAGCGCAGGCCGTCAGAGCACGTCCAGTGAACTCGGGAGAAGATGCGTCACAAACACAAGGTTCTTGTATTACCATGTGATTAAGTTTCACGTTAAACATAACACTTAAAAACTCTCCCAGGCCTGGCGCCGTAGTCTAGCGGCTAAAGTCCTTGCCGTGAATGCACTGGGATCCCATATGGGCACCGGTTCTAATCCCAGCAGACCTGCTTCCCATCCAGCTCCCTGCTTGTGGCCTGGGAAGCAGTCGAGAACGGTGCAAAGCCTTGGAACCCTGCACCTGCATTGGAGACCCGGAAGAGGCGTCTGGCTCCTGGCTTCGGATTGGCTCAGCTCCAGCCATTGCGGCCTCTTGGGAGTGAATCATTGGATAGAAGATCTTCCTCTCTGTCTCTCCTCCTCTCTGTGTATCTGTCTTTCCAATAAAAAATATATAAAATCTTTAAAAAAAAAAAAACCCTTTCCCTATATTTTACAATAAGAAGCCCTCAGCATTGGACTGTTTCCTCTGCTTCTCCATTTAATTCCTTTATTTCCTGCATAGTAGTACTTTACCAACACCGTAGCCACAAGTTAGATAATTCCAGGTATAGTTTGGGAACCCAAATACTTCCAAACAAAGAAGCCAGGTTCATTACCATAAGTTTCCCAGCACCTACCCATCTGTGGTCTCCTTGTCCCATGGCTCCAGCTCCCACTTCCTGCCTTGGGAAGAAGCAAAGGCCATGCCAGGACCTTGGCAGAAGGTACATTCACGCACAAGTGTCTGCTGAGCACTTGCTGTGGACGAGGGATTGTTCTAGACACTGGGGGATGGAAATAGAACAGCCAAGATTAGGGCTCCCCATACACAGTGCCACCCAAATCTACAGTTAATTCAAAGCCAGAACCCTTCAGTGAAATACATGGTTAGAATTGTATAGACATTTAGCTTTCTACTTTTCATTTTGCTTTGTTTTGATATTGAGTTAAATTCTTCAGCACCTCCCTTGGTCAAACCCACTCAGAAGGCAGTGGCCAGGGTGATGCAGCCCCTAGCAGAGCATGGAGGGACAGATGGAGCTGGCTAGCAGCTTCCGCTCACCTCCCATGGAAGCAGCTCAGGGGTCAGACAGAGCATCTGCACTGATTTGAGGCATTTTCTTACCTACTGGAGCAAAATAATAGTTCTGAAAGTGATGTCAAGTTTAAAGGCTTTTTATGATTTTGCTGAGCCCAATTGTAGGGGTGCTGGGGGTCTTGTCTCTCCCTCCAGAGGTCCTTTCTGGATGGGGATTGGTCCAGGCTCCTCCGGCTCCCACATGGAAACTTCTCACCCTGAGCTGTGGCTCAGGTCTCCAGGACTCAGCAAGTTCTCACCCTGGCTCTGCAGTTCTTTACCCAGCAACAGCCAGAGTACTCAGAGAAGCATTCTGATTGGCCGGACACAGCAGCATCTCCCCCATCCTCAGTGTGTCTGCTGCTTTACCCCCTACACAGAACAAGACTTGCTTGGTGGAGGTACCAGAGGGCAATGGCGCTGGCAGCAGGGCTGCTCCTCGGATTCCACACCCTGAGCATCCTCCTGAGCCCTCAGGAAACAGGGGCCATCACAGGTGAGTGCCATCTCCCTGCCAGTCACCTCTCCCCTCTGCCACATCCCTCCTGGACCTACACACAGCTCAGCTCGGGCCAGCTGGGTCAGGAGCTCAGTCTGTTCAGAGTAGGGTCTCCTCTGGGTTCTCCCTCAGGTGTAGATTCCCGCCCCCTCCCTCTCCCCTTCTTCTCTCTGAGACCCACACCTGCTCCCCACTGCCGCCCCACAGCTTGATGCCACTTCCTGGCTCAGGGCAGCTCATTTGAATCCAGTGCAGTTGCGTCTGGCCTGACAGTGGCCATCCCCGTACCAGGTCAGCTGTTGATCTGAGGTTAGCCTGCTTTGGGTGGATGCTGCTTCACCTCCAGCCTGGCGTCTTGCTGGGCCTACTGTAGGTCAAGAACACTGAGCGAGCTGATGCTAAAGACACCAGTTAAAACTGAGTTCCTGAGCCAGAAAACGGAGTCTCCATTACGGGAAGAGATGCATTCAGTCCTGATGCTCTGATACTGGAACCTCGAGCTGCCAAGTCCTCTCTGCTGCTCCTTGAAGTGCCTCTGGCTACCTTCCTAGCCCCTTGTTCAGGAGTCACAGGCTCCTGGCTTCTGCCAGTCGTCACCCCTCACTGTGTCCTCTGAGCCTAAGCGTCCCTCCCGCTCCTGTTGGCAACCACTTCCTCCCCATTCCAACCTCCCCTGCTCCCGCACGCCCTCATCTCCCACACAGGATCCCATAACTCGACCACAGCCTAACGGGGCACTCACAGCTCAACACTGGGAACCCCAGGCAGGATGGAGGCAGCCCCTCCTTGGTCCGGGCGCTGCGTGGCCTGTGACCTGTTGGATTCGCTCCTGTTTCCCTCGCTACCGCCCTCTGCGGCCCCTGTTGGAGCAGGACTCTGTCCCGTCACCCAGAGGCAGGCAGGCGTGGCTGAGACCCACTCCTCTTTTCTCTCCCGGCCCTGTGCTCACCCCATGCAGCTGACCACGTGGGCTCCTACGGGCCAGCCTTCTACCAGTCTTATGATGGCTCAGGCCAATTCACATATGAATTCGACGGGGAGCAGCTGCTATCCGTGGACCTGAAGGAGAAGGAGGTTGTATGGCGCCTGCCTGAGTTTGGTGACGCAGTCCACTTCGACGTACAGGGCGGGCTGACCAGCATCGCCACGATCCAAAAGCATCTGGACGTCTTGGTGCAGCGATCCAACCGCACGCGAGCCGTCAGCGGTACCTGCTCACCCCTACTCACCCCCGCTCAGCCCCGCTCACCCCCCTCACCCCTGCTCACCCCCGCTCACCCCCCTCACCCCTGCTCACCCAGCCAGCCTGCCCAGGCCTGCAGGGGCTTCCCCTGTGCCCATGCTCTGGCGCGGGCGAGGTCTGAATCTGAGGCTTCAGGTCCTCCCAGGAGCCCTCAGCACATCTTCCTTCCACCACACATATTCACCTGCAGTCCTCCCTCCCATCTTCTCCTCTCCCCTCCAGCAACCCCTGCCCACCAGGAAGAGGTGTCCCTTGATCCATTCACCCCCAGCCATGGGCGGAGGGGCGGTGAACCTTCTTCCACATTCAGGGTCTGCTTCTCCCTAGTGCCTCCAACGGTGACCGTCCTCCCCCAGGCTCCTGTGGAGCTGGGCCGGCCCAACACGCTCATCTGCATGGTGGACAACATCTTCCCCCCGGTTATCAAGATCACCTGGCTGCGCAATGGCCAGACGGTCACCCAGGGTGTGACCCAGACCAGTTTCTACACCCGGCCCGACCACCTGTTCCGCAAGTTCCACTATCTGAGCTTTGTGCCCTCCGCCGAGGACGTCTATGACTGCAGGGTGGAGCACTGGGGCCTGGAGCGGCCACTCCTCACACACTGGGGTATGCCCTGCCCCATCCTCCATCCCCCTCAGTCCGCCCATCTCTCTGAGAGATCCCACCCCTCTCCTGCCTCCCCACCCCCAGGGTGACACCTCTGCACCCTTGCTGTATCTTCCAGAGCCGCAGGTGCCTACTCCCCTGCCAGACACCACCGAGACCCTGGTCTGTGTGCTGGGTCTCACCCTTGGCCTAGTGGGCTTTCTGCAGGGCACCGTCCTCATCTTCATCGCCACACGCATGTCCAGAGCCCCCAGGTGCAGAGGATCTGAGAGTCTGTAGGTCGGGGTAGGGGGTAGAGGGAGACGTGAAGACCCTGGGGGAGGAAGGGGTGGGACAAGAGAGGTATGGGGGTCCTTGGTGTTGATGACCGGGCTGGCAACGGGATCTCCATACTGAGCTGAGCCACACTGGTCACTTGATTTTCCTGCTCTAGGCAATGACCATTCTGAGAGATACAAGACCCCCAGAGACCCCCACCCAAGAAAGTCGCTGTCTGATCTGCAAAGCGCTCCCCCATGGTGCTGCCTCAGACGGACTTCCGTCTGTAGGTCCCCTCCTTTCGGGTCCCAGCACTCGTGGTGGGGGACTTGTGGGGCTCCTGTTCCCACCCTAACACCTTGCTCTACCAGAAGCTCTGTTCTTGCTCTGCCAGAAGCTCTGGCTAACAGCCCACATTCTTCCACAGTGTTCCCCCTTCCTTCTGCATTCTGCCAGCTCTCAGCCACTTCTCTCAGGCTGTGGGAGATGCTGGGAAGCAGAGGAGGGCACTCTGGGACCCAGGCGAGGAAGGGCTGTGAGGATTTGGTGTCTGTCTGCGTCTGCTTAGAGAGCTCAGTGGAGTCCAGCCTGCCTCTATGGTGCTGTCTCCTTTTTCTGCATTTCCTGGAAGCCCACGCATGACAAAGAAAGGCCTGGGACTGGGTGGTGATGTTCCTCAGTGGGGTTAGTCACCTCAAGTAGGAGAGCAGTGCCTGGGAGGAGCTTAGGTTAAGAGAGACCCATCCGAGCACATGAAATAAGTGGCCTGGAAGCTTCAATTTTGCTGTGAGTGAAATTAACACACACACACACACACACACACACACACACACACACACACACACACACGGCCACCATTACGGTGCAGTGTGTTAAGCCTCCATCTGAGGTGCTGGCATATCATAATGGCTCTGAGTGGAGTCTTGGCTGCTCCACGTCCAATTCGTCTCCCTGTTCATCCTGCTAATGTCATAGAAAAGCAGCAGAAGATGGCTCAAGTGCTTGAGGACCTGTAACACATGGGAAACCAAGAAGAGGCTCCTGGCTCCTGGCTGTGGCCTGGCTCAGTCCAGTCTGTTGTCATTTTGGGAATGAACCAGCAGATAGAAGATTTCTCTCACTGTGTTGCTTTCTCTCTGTGTGTAAATATGCCTAGCAAGGGCCCAGCATGACGACTCCATTGGCTAGACCTACCCTTTTAAGCACCAGAATCCCACATGGAGATTGGTTCATGTCCTGGCTGCTCTTCTTCCCATCCAGCTCCCTGCCTGTGGCCTGGAAAAGTAGGAGAGGATGGCCTACAGCCTTGGGACCCTGCACCTGTGTGGGAGACACAAAAGAAACTCCTGGTTTCTGGTTTCAGAATAGCTCAGCTCCAGCCATTGTGGCCACTTGGGGAGTGAACCAACATGTGGAAGATCTTTCTCTTTGTCTTCCCTTCTCTCTCTGTAAATGTACCTTTCCAATAGAAAAATAAGGAATAGCCTTAAAAAAAACCTGTGTATCAAACAAAATAAGTGTTTTTTTTTTAATTAAAAACACAGAGATTAGTAACTGTACAGGGAGGTTTGTGTCAAGTACCAACAAGTAGATCACAGCCTGGAATGCAGGAAAGAATGGCCCGGGAGCCCCTTGAAAAATGCAGGCATGTCCCACACCTATGGGAAAGACAGGGTGAGGCTGGGACGGGCGGGGACAAGGAGCCTGCAGTTCTTAACACACTTGGCCCCGTTCATAGCTGAGGGCTGGGACCTGAGTACCCCTGACGTAGTCTGATGGGGCTGGTGGTCATCGGGAGGGTGGGGGACCTGAGACCCCCCCGATGTGGTCTGATGGGCTGTTGGTCATCGGGAGGCATGACCTGAGGTCTGAGGTGGACCAGGAAGGCTTTCTGATAACCTGAGTCTGGTAGGGAATTCAAGCTGTTCAAGACAGAAGTAGGTATGGGCAAGGCCGGGAGTCGAACTGTGAGCCTTTGGTTCTGAAGGAGACTGAGACAGGTGACAGGGACTTGGTGGACTTCCACAGCGAGGACAAGCTGGAGGAGTCCATGACGAGAGGAATCTGATGGAAGTGGAGAGAATCGTGCTGGCCACGTGTGGTTGGAGTCCTATGAGGCTGGGCGGGCTGGCCTCCCCTGGGGACTGACCCTCTCTGCTAACAGGTCACCTTTACAACGCCTGAGATGACAGCATCTCAATACCCACAGAGACTATTTCCAGTCACCCTTCAGGAAGAAGGGTGGAAGAATAAACAAAAAGCTAAGCCGAGCAAAGGGGTCCCGCCTAGGGCAGTTCTTGGGGAAGGGGCATAGGGTCCCACGGCACGCACACGGCTGCCCACATAAGGGTATGATTGTGCTCAGAGAATGAGGTATGGGTTGGCTCCCAAGACACCCTGATCTCTGCTGATCCATTGCTCAAACGTTAACTTTATGCACCACTGCTATGGTGTTTCCCCTCATGAAAGTGTCTGGGGCTGGTGCAGTGGCACAGCAAACTCGTCCTCCTCCTACAGTGTCAGTATCCCCTGTGGGCACTGGATCGTGTCCTGGTTGCTCCACTTCTGTTCCAGTTCCCTGCTTATGGCCTGGGAAATCAAAAGAGGCTGGTCCAAGTCCTTGGGCCCTTGTACCCACATGGGAGACCTGGAGGGTCTAATTATGACCAGAATAAATGTCCTCCTCCCCCCGCCCCACGTACGTGTTAACCAGAAGTTACTGAAACTTCTTGGAATAGCTCCAAGTCTTTTAGGCTGACATATCTGCCCCTTTAGCTCACATTTTACTATTTTCTTCTCGTTTCTAGAGAAGCAGTGTTTCATTTTTAAAAATGTGTTTCTGCATTCTTTATTTTTTATTTTATTAATTTCAAGGTTTATTACAAAGATGAGGCAGTTACAGGCCCATGTGGGCCATGCACTGGGATGAAGTGGGTCGTGGGAGGAGGAGGGGGTTGGGTGGGGAGGAAAGTAGGTTAGAGAAATGTTCTGGCTTCCGCTCCTGTGTGTGGGGGTTGGGGTCTGGTCGGGGAGCAGAGAGGGTGAGCCACTTCTTGTGATTAGACTGCACCTGTGCAGGGAGCAGGAGCAGTCCTTTCTTCCTCCTGTGGAACAGACTCGTGCTGTCTGCCTGCTCGCGTGCCCTGCCCTGTAATGGACTCTCCCACAGAGCAGGGAGGCCAGCTCCCGTCTCAGTCCAGGAACCCAGTTCCCAGTTCCAGCCCCTCCAGTGCGCGGTTACAAGGACTGTTCTGTTCAAGTGGTTTCTATAGTTCTGAAATGCTGTCAATCTTGCCGCTCCAAGGATAAGGAAATCCTTCCCAGGCTCAGTCACTAACACAGTCCACCTTAGAGCCTCCGTTCAACCAGGCATTTGCTGTCAACACCTGTCTGGGGTAGTTGTCCAATTTGTTCTGCCCTCCATCCTCTGCTGTTGTACTAGATGTCCTCTGCAGGCCCCAATGGACTGCCGTACCGAAACCACTTGAGCAGAACCTTTGGCGCATGCTCCACGTTGGAGACCCTGGGATGACATCAGGTGGCGGTTCCCCATCCCTGGGTACTGAGGCAGTTAAGGTGCTGAGTATGGCTTTTCTTCTTTGCTCCCCACTTCCCCCAGATATGAGAAGAAGAAAAAGAAAAAATGGAAACAATGGTCTTATCCACTTTTCCCTAATCCTTGACCCTTCCCACCCCAATCAGTGGTCCACATGGGCATGCATCCTTCTCAACTATATAAACATCATCAAAAATCAAATTAAAAAAATCATTTTAGGCCCCGGTGCGATAACGTACTGGTTAAATTCCTTGCCTTGAATGCGCCAGGATCCCATATGGGCGCTGGTTCTAATCCTGGCAGCTCCACTTTCCATCCAGCTCCCTGCTTGTGGCCTGGGAAAGCAGTCGAGGATGGCCCAAAGCCTTGAGACCCTGTACACCATAGGAGACCGGAAGGAAGTTCCTGGTTCCTGGCTTTGGATAGGCTCAGCACCGGTTGTTGCAGTCACTTGGGGAGTGAATCATTGGATGGAAGATCTTCCTCTCTGTTTCTTCACCTCTCTGTATATCTGCCTTTCCAAAAAAAAAAAAAGTGACACTATTAAAAAAAAATCATTTTACTCAATTTCCCCTAAAACGTTAAGTTAGATTCTAATTAGAAGTCTATTAAATTTGTAGACTAATTTTGAAAAAAAAAAAAAAAAGACTTCTGCAAGGGCTGCCTCTAGCCCTTTCAGCTTTCAGCAAAGCTGAGTTTTATACACAGATAGTTCTACCTGATCTATTACAATAATCCTGCCTCCAGCGCCCCCTCCTGCCCCCAGAGGCGAAACCCTGAAGCTGTTTCAAGGATTGTGCTGGCACTGACTTGCTTCTCTGAGCTTGGCATCGTTCCATCTTGGGATTCAGCTTTAGGCTCTGCCTGCACTTCCTACAGTGGGGGAGGGGGACTGGGCTTTTCTCCACTCTCTGAGGACATCCTGCCCACTTGGAGGTCAGCACTGATACTGTTACTAGCGTATAAATGGCATGCCTTTAGGTCAAGCATTCTAAAAATTTATTTATTTTGTTATTCTTATCATTTTATGATACAGTTCCACAGGCCCTGGGATTTCCCTTACCCTCTCCCCAAGTACCCTCCCCCATCTACTTAGTTCCCCTAAATTAGCACTATAGTATAGCTCTTCAGTCATGTGTCCATCATTGTGGACATGGACAAGGCAGAGCCCAGAATCCTATTGTCAAGATATGTTCAACAGCTTCATTGGGAGTCCATCTCTGATCTGGAAGTAGAGATGCATAATAGTGCATTGTAGCCTCACGTATGGATATGATGGACTCCATTACACAGTTACTATGCATCCTTTTAGATAAAAAGCCACAATACAAAATCAACAACAGGAAGAAAAGACAAGAATGCCATCAAGTTAAATAACATGCTATTGAATGACTAATGTGTCACTGAAGAAATGAAAAAGAAATTCAAGAACCTTCTTGAAGAAAATGATCTATGAGTCAGTGAATTTAATGTGGAAGAAAGCGTTCTGCAGAGAAGAAACTAAATTAAAATAAATCATCAAAATCCATGACATACAGTTTCCATTTATCTGTGTTGGTGAGATATGTCTTCTGTAGGCAACAAATAAATGGGTTTTGTTTTTTAATCCAGTCTACTATTCTATGACATTTGATTGATACGTTTAAGCCATTACACTCAGGGTTAATACGAATGGATGGTAATTTGACCCTGCCTCTTTCTCTTTGTTTTTTTTTTTTTTTATATCTATCATTAGTGAATCATAGATGTCCTCACAGTGCAAACAGACACAACAGGTGTTTTTATCAATTTTATCATCAGATGAAACCAGACAGAGCCTCCTGTCTCCCTCAGTGACACGCCGTCATCCGGGGAAGGCCTTTCCGCCATCCTTGTCAGGATTCACCTGTTCTGTGTTGGTTCCTCTGCTTCTTGGCTCCAGCAACAACTCTCTTGGGGTCTTTGTCTTATTTTAGTGAGGCACGTGCTTCTGAAGCCCCTGAATCAAGCTTGTTAGCTTTGGTACAAGGTGGACATGCATTCATTTTATTTTCATTTTTTTGGTAGTTTACATGGACATAAAATGCAAAGGGAAACTACTCTCATCAAAATTTTTAAAATATCTTTTATTATTTAAAGATGTATTCATTTAACTTGCAAATAAGAGTTACAGCCAGACACACACACACACATACAGATTTTTTATCTGTTAGTTTATTCCTTAAATGGCTGCAATGGCCAGAGCTGAGCTGATCCAAAGCCAGCTAGGAGCCAGGAGCTTCTTGCAGGTCTCCCACAGGGATTCAGGGCCCAAGTACTTGAGTCATTCTTTGTGTTTTCTCAAGCTGCAAGCAAGGAGCTGGATTAGGAAGCAAAGCACCCAGGACTTGAACTGCGCCCATATGCAATGCCAGCACCTCAGGCAGAGGATTAGCACACTGTGTCACTGCATCGATCTTC